CGAATAGAATACGAATACCCAACCAATGCAATACTAATAGCCTGTTAATACAATACCTGATTGTATTGATGGACTATAATAGCGTGCCCTTTACAAAGCCCAACGATAATTGAAATTGAGTGCCTATATACTCGGTCCTTCATTGCGCTTATAATTACTAAAGTCATACTTGTATGTCTAACACTCAATAACACACATCCCAGTCATACATGTACAATATACTGATTGTATTGGTGGGCTTTATAGACTTGCCTGCTCCAAAGTCCAATTATAATTGATCTTGGATGCGTCTTTTCCAGTCCTTCACTTCACTTATTCTAATGATCATACATACGAAGTTAAAACCCTAACCTTATTTTTACGGTAACTGATATGCGTAGGTTCTTTCTGTAGAAAAGTCCAAATATATTTCATATTGGGTGCATCATACTTCCAGTCCTCTATTAATAGTCATACACATGTGCACAACTCTCTATACCGTGTATCTTAACCTTACTAACACTGTGACATGTAGGTGCGGTCCGCAGACTTGTCCTGTCCAAAGTCCAAATACATTTGATATTGGGTGTATCACACCCCCAGTCCTTCATTATTGGTCATAAGTATGTATTCAACACTCTCAACACCCCAGTCCTTAACCAAACTAACACTAACACTGTACCTGATATGCATAGGCCCGTTCTGTAGGCTTGCCCTGTCCATAAATGTGGTAGTAGGTCATGTTGGGTGCATTCGGCAACTCAATTTCCAGGCCATTGTACCACTTACTCTCTAGATCGTTGTTTGGCGCAACATCCTCGCTGGAAACAGAGGGTTGCTCAGGGGTTATGGTTAAATATTCAGATGCATAGGGTATGGTTAAAAAGGCTTAGGATTGTAAGATAGTGGGATTCAAGGGTAAAGATTGTAGGGTTAAGGTTTAAGAATTTGTGTGAAGTGTAGAATGGTTAGTTAACAGCAGGTACCTGTCTGAAAGTGTCAAGCATTCGAGCATGTCGTGTCTGAAAGTGATAAGCATTGGAGCATGCCGTGGTACCTCGCGTGTGATGCTATTGCAATCCAGAACGAAGTCGGCCCGAAAAAGGCAGAGTGAGATATGTGAACTAAATGTCACTGGTCAGTTGGCTCATTGTCAAAGGAAGTATGCATGCATACAAGCAATGTAATGCTCGGGTATTAGAAAGACGCACCATTTCCCTTTCCCCCCCAAATAATCCAAATTCTAGACCAAATTCTAGACCTAAAATTCAAATTCCAAATCCTGATCTCTACATACCTGTAGCCAAAAGACATCGAGGCTACAATGGGTGCCATATCCGGGTGAGTGGTGGACAGAAAGTCCAACAATTCCGAAAAGGACACGTTCGGCATCTTATTGCCCTCCTGAACGCTCTTGTCATCAAAGTCAGGCTCTGACAGCTCAAAAAAATAGGGTCGGCCGTATTATAAAACGATACGAATAGCTGAATAGCATACACTCTCTCCTGTTAAGAAATTTGTACATTTACGAAAGGCATGTCAACTGCCTGTAGACTCTTCGGCTTGTATTCCTCGAATTGTACATAGCAAAAACTCGGCTTCACTTATCAACGTTTGCATTTATGGGTCTCGTGGTGTAGTTTGCACAGGGGATACCGATACAAGATAAGAGTACATGGTATATATATATATATATATATATATATATATATATATATATATATATATATAACTAATATATATATATATATATATATATATATATATATACTATAANATATATATATATA